TTATGTTAATGGCACTGTTTTCAGGATAATTTATACTACTACTACTATCGAATGGTTTGCCGATTTCTATTGAAAAATTTTGAAATGTTTCATCGTCGATTTTGGCTTGGTATATTATGAATATTCTCATAACTGGTGAAATAAGGTCTAATCAAATTATTTTTATACTCTCGCAACATGATGCTACAGAATATAATAGCTTTGTTCACCTAACAGTTCGTCCGTCTGTCTGTGGAAGCTGTAACTTGAGTAAAAATTGAGATATCTTTATGAAACTTGGTACTGTAAGAGGGTTGGTATTGCAGATGGGCATAATCGGACCAATGCCACGCCCACAAAACGCCATTGAGCAAAAACAAATAAATTGCCATAACTAAGCTATACAATAAGATACAAGACTGTTATTTGGTATTCAGGATCACATTAGGGAGGGGCATCTGCAGTTAAATTTTTTTTAATGTGCATATCTCCTAAACCGCTATAGCTATAATAACAAAATTCACTAAGAACAAATATTTTTAGCACCTCTATCGACAGTGTGAAAATGAGTGAAATCGAGTGGCAACTCAGCCCACTTGCCATATAACGGTGCTGTTAAAAACTACTAAAAGCGCGATAAATCAAGCACTAAACACGCCAGAGACATTAAATTTTATCTCAGGGATGGTATGAGATGACTTTATAGGAACCGCGTTCAAAATTAGACAGTGGGCGTGGCACCGCCCACTTTTAGGTAAAAACCCATATCTTGGGATCTGCTTAACCGAATTCATAAGATTCTTCTCATATTTCTATGTTATAGTGCGAAAATGGGCGAAATCGGATTACAACCACGCCTATTTCCCATATTACACCATTTTAAATTCCATCTGATTCTTGCACTTTCCACTATGCAAATCAAACAACAATGATTGCATCGGGGTAAAACTTTGCGTGAATAATGTCTAAATCGAACGAAAACTGTTCAAGCCCCTAGGCACTGAATATGTGGACCCCAGTGCCTATAGTTGACTTTTTTTGGAACAACAAGAGGTTGCCCACAGGGCGGAGTGCTATCCCCCCTACTTTGGAGCCTAGTTGTAGACGACCTCCTTGAGCGGCTGACTAGCAATGGAATCCGCTGTCAGGGATATGCGGATGACATTGTTATCTTAGCTAGGGGAAAATTTGAAGACACACTCTGTGATATCGTTCAGAGGGGATTGGGACTGGCAAAGGGATGGTGTAGGGGGGTTGGCTTAAACATCAACCCCGCTAAAACTACAATCATTCCCTTCACCAGACGGAGGTCACTGCCGGGCCTCAGGAATATATCCCTGGACGGCAGAGTGGTTGAGATGTCCAGCACGGTCAAGTATCTGGGACTCACGCTGGATTCCACATTGCGATGGAATCAGCACGTGGACCAGACCCTAACCAAAGCTACAAAAGCACTCATGGTGTGCAACCGACTTGCTGGAAAATCCTGGGGGTGCTCCCCAAGGACTATCAGGTGGATGTACACCATGATTGTGAGACCGATTATCACGTATGGAGCGGTATCGTGGGGTTCGAAAACATCGCAGACTTCGGTAGGACTTAAACTGTCGAAGCTGCAAAGACTTGCCTGCATCTGCGCGTCGGGAGCAATGCGAACGTGTCCGACCGCAGCACTGGAGGTCATGCTAGAATTTTCACCGCTACACCTGGTAATCAAACAGACTGCCAAACGAACTCTGCTCCAAATGACAGCAGAGGGAGCTGGCAAAGGGAAGGTAATCTCATCCCAGCAGATGAAAGAGCTAAGTGAGGAAATACCACTAGCCCTTCTCCCAAGGGATAGCATTACCAAAGTTGTAAACTTCAGCAGGAAGTTCCAAGTAACCCTTGGCAGCAAATCTGAGTGGAAGGACTCTTCACTAGACCTGCTGCTAAAGGGTTGCACCATCAAGTGGTACACCGACGGGTCGAAAACGGAGGAGGGGATTGGTGCAGGGGTCGCTGGGCCAAGCACCAAACTCTCCATTCCCATGGGATGTTTCCCTAGCATTTTCCAAGCCGAGGTCTATGCTATAAGTCGGTGTGTAGGAATAAATCTCCAACGCAACTATCGCAATAAAAGTATCGCTATACTCAGCGTTAGTCAGTTGGCACTAAGAGCGATCTCTGCCTATGAGGTCAGATCTCTCCTAGTGATGGAGTGTATAGAACGGCTGAACAGCCTATCTGAGCACAACCGAGTGCACCTTATTTGGGTGCCTGGCCATAGGGGTATAGCTGGGAACGAACTAGCCGACGAGTTAGCTCGCTCTGCAGCCTCTACAAGAATGGTAGGGCCGGAACCATACTTAGCGGTTGGTCCACATACCATCAAAGAGCTCCTCCGCAGGGAGGAAAGAGCAGACAGGGAGATACACTGGCAACAACTCTAGGGCATGCACCATGCCAGACTGCTAATGGGGGGTTACGACCTCAAGCGGTTCAATGCCATAATTAATCTCCCAAGGAACAAATTCCGGCTACTGGTAGCGTTCTACACCGGCCACTGCAGGCTCAAGAGGCATCTCTTTAACATGGGCATAGCCTCTTCTGCAAACTGCCGGTTCTGCGACATAGAGCCGGAAACCCCCGAACATCTGCTGATGAGCTGCACAGCAGTCTGCAGACGCAGAATCAAGGCCCTGGGATCCATGTTTCCACACAGGGATTGTATCGCCTCACTAGCAGCCAGCAGAATTTTGGAATTTATCAATATGCTGGGCCTAGATGACACGATATGACTTAGGGGAGGGCACAATAGACCGTAGGTCGCGGTGCATACCTCAAAATTAATCAATCAATCAATATAATAAAATAAATAAATGAAACTTTCGATAATAGTATGTTTTTGTGTCAAAAATTGGTTGAATCGGATCAATACTTCCTCTAGTATACAATTTTGCCAACACATGAAGGCATTTCCCTGGTATTTGAGCCTTGCAAGTTGCGAGAGTATTAAATGTTTGGTTACACCCGAACTTATAACTTCCTTATTTGTTTCCTCTATTGTTATCGTTAAACTGTCCATTGTATCTATTGCTGTTCGAATTATTTAGGAATTGTTTAATCGGATCGATTTAGATTGGTATGGTTGTTGCTGAATTTAGTTTTACTGTGTGTGTTTAAATAATTTTGAGTTGTTGGCCCAAACTATGTAAATTGCTGATGCTTCGCGAAAAAATGCTTTCTGAAAAAAATCATGGGTGGGTTGGCTCCGGAAGGTGAGCTCTAAAAGTTGTAAAGGCAATTCTATTTATTTTTTCTGTGCAATAGGTGTTTATGCCATGTTTTAAATTTCTGTTATGGATCTTATTGGCAAATTTATTTATTATATATTAATAGTTTTCGATTGTACCCTATAATGTGCAAGTTTAAATTGTTACTGATATATTTCTATATACACATATATATATTATATATATATACCATATATATATTATATATATATACCATATATATATATATAAGTATGTAACAACGCGTATGTATGTATGTCTGACGTAGCTCGTCGCGCTGATCATTAATATGGTAAATGTATATACTATATAGAGTCTCCGACGTTTCCTTATGTGCTTTCATTACATCTATAATCATGACCGTGTACTTGTATTTGTTGTATTATATATTGCTCTTCAAAGCTAATAAAACATGGTTGAAAGTTTAGTTTTTATCCAAAATATTTATATATCTGTTTTATTAATTTTTTTTTAGGGAAGCCTTTAAAATAGCACATGACATATTTTGACCTTCAATTCAAAAACTGTAACATACGTAAAAAGTATGTGTAATAATATTTAAAGTATATACATGTTTCTAGGTACAGATCTATGTAGATATGTCAATATATATAGAGTTTGTGTAAGTTTTTTCAAAATTTTAGCGGCAATTTTAGAACAACTAACTCGCAGCATTTTTGAAGTGTTGACAACGCAGTGGAGCATTGCACCCAAGTAACCCCGAAATTTTGCCACGGTGCGTAGAGGCATAATTTTGGAACGCACTCCGTGCCCTTAGCTTACGAAAACAAAATTTTCCGCAATGAAAAACGCAAACACATGTAACTGTGTTTCCTGATTTATGTTATATATATTTTTGTTTACGTAGGTATTTCTCTTGGGCAAATGCATAACAACACCACTTGAACAACTCGACAATACAAGAATATTGTCAATTTTTATCGCTTACCTCGACAAAACATGTGTCCAAAAGTAAAAAGCAGGCAAATTTTTTTTGCATTTCATTAATTACTAGTGAAATTCGGTGGTGTAGCAAAATCAAGTCGGTCAAATTGGGTCGTTTCCCCGTGGATTGTAGCACCGTTCCACTTTCCGCATTGGTTGAAAAGCAGAGACGCGAGCCAGTGCCGGCCACAGTCTCGACGCGTTCATCAAACGGAAGTGATCGGTCGTTCGTTGCATTTTGTTCTTCGGAGTAGTCGCGACAATCAAATTATAATTGCTGGAGCTTATGCGGTTTCGGATTACCTTTCATTGGACTACATACACAAAAGGATACATACATGTGTGCTTGCCATTCTATATACATATGTATATATTGGCTTATGAAGCGTGTGTTGTGAATAAAAATTCGAATTTGTTATGAAAGTGTGATTCGATCCTTGTGACGGCATTGTAACATGATACACTTCTATCATTAACATGCAATGAACATGTTTAGCAATCATATTTTTATTATGCTATTAAAATTGATTGCGGTGTCGTGAAATGTGGATAAAAAAGTGAAAATTAAAAAAAATATATATGCATGTAAAAAAAAAAACAAAAATTGGAAAGTTAGCGAAAATACTTGTAATATCTAATTTATGAATATAGCTACATATACACATGTACGCACACATATGATATACTAAACAGTGGGTGTGATTGTTAATACCGTTTTTGGAACCAAAAATATATATAAAGTTCCCACTGGGCCCCAATTGATGGATACCGTTATACCATAACATAAAGCGCGCTACAATAATGTCAAAAATGAAGTTATTAACCGATGGTAGGTGTAAAATCATATATAATTGATCGAAATATGTATACCCTAAGGATATAATCCATAATTTCTTATTCTGCAGCGTTGTGGTTAATTCTAAAGAACTGTTTAAATATTTCATTCAACGTAAAATTGGATACAAATAATATATGCATGTACATATGTGAATAAAAGTAAATAAAATGGAAATTACTCCACGGAGTACTTCTGTAAATAAGCTTTTACCATCTGATCAAATTTGGGTCGGATGGGTTCATTTAAACTGCGCACGATTTCCAAAGAAATAACATTTGTGTTTTTAGTTGTATAACTTTTCCTATGTTCGTGTGAAGTTTGATCTCCATATGTGAATTGGTGAGTGTTTGGCTACTGTTTGTTTACGACACGAAAAGTTTGTCGATTTTTACCATATATAACATATTTAACAACGAATTTGCTTGGAATTTTTTTGTTTACAATGGACTCTACTTTACCACGAACAGAAATATTGGAATGACACAAAGCATTCAGTGAAGGTCGTGAAATCATCGAAAATTTGCTTCGTGCGAGTCGTCCATCCACCTCTGTTAATGGTGTTAATTATAACAATTGAAAAAGTTAGGTATACTGTATTTGAAAACTGTCGTTTTGACATCAAAGAGATAGCAGAGGATCTTACGTCTTGGTTAATGTTTTATTTATGAAGTGTGTCAATACTAGACTCGTACCAAAAAACCTGAATCTTTTGCAAAACCGACGTCGAATGGAGGTCGCAAAAAGAGATGCTTGACAACGCTTGACAGCAGAGGACCCTACATTCATCGACCGCTTACTACTGTTGTCGAGAATGAAAAATTGAGTAAAGCGTTGACATGCTTGTATTGGCTCCGGAGCTTATTTTGAAGGCGTTAATAAAGATTTGTAATAAATTATGTGAAAATGTATTTTTTTGTCAGTCCGGTTCAATTTTCATCAGATGGTATACCTAACTGATACCAAGTTACTTGTTATAAGCGTCATTTAGGGGAATATGCAGAAAATATGCATATGTATTAGTTGACCTTGGTCTTTTAGCAGCCTCGAAAAGTTATGCCAGTGTAAGGTCATATAGCTCTACAAACTCACCTCTATGACCAAACTCTAAACTCAATCGTCTAATTCTTTAAGTTTGTCGATTTCTTTATATATGTATGTGTTTTACAATCGCACTTGTAAAACTGCGCTTTCGTTCCAAACATTTCGGCCATATCAAGGGTCGGACTATGAATGCATTTGGGGTTTCTCATAATTCACTACATGAACACATTTCGCGCAATAGATGTTTGAAAAGCTATCTTCGTCTTCAACTGCACCATTGACCATCGTCAAATGGTGTTTAGCGCAGAGCAACTAGCTTATGTCTGTTTAACGGTTAGTTTAAGTTCATTATTCTGGATCGGTATTTCCGGTCTAGCGTTGCCGTGTCGTTAAATTTCGTTTCGACAACAACGGAAAATGCCAAATGCACTCCGTGTATGACATTTTGCGCAATATCCGTTACGGTCCATTCGTTGTCCTCCGTTTTTGTCGAGACGAGCTGAATTACTTTTGACTGCCTGTTTGCTCGTCTGTCTTTGCAAGCGATAACTTGAAAAAAGAACTAAGATATCTTGAAGATACTTTGTACATGTATTTCTTGGTGCTATGGGGAGGTTGGTATTGCAGATGGGCGTAAGCGGCCTATTGCCATGCCCACAAAATGGCTTAGATCATAAAGTGAAATTATTACAAATTATAATATTATATATAAAACTGTTATTTGGTGCAGAGGATCCAAATGGTAAGTGGCACTTGTGGGCTGAAGATTTTTGAAAAGTGACATGACCCCGCTCTATAACAGGTTTAGCGTACATATCTCACAAACTTCTAAAGCTGTATCAACACAACTTGCTGGCACTTCGTTAAACAGTGTAAAATAGGGGTGAAATTTGGTGATAACCACGCCCTCTTCCCATATAATGGTTATGTTGAAAACTATTTAAAGCACGATAACTCATTCAATAAATACAGAAGGATACAACGACATCTACTTCCTATATGACACAATTTTAAAACCCATCTGATTATTTCACTTTAAAGTGAACAAATCAAGCTCCAATGAAGATAACGGGATATAACTTTTCACAAGTAGTGCTTTTATGCAATTCCAAAAATTCGAAATGTCTGACCATAACTTTAGCAGCTCCTTAGTTTTTAAAATATTGGTCCATCTGAGAGATATATTATTGAAGAGATTCAGACAGCATACTTGTATTTATCTGGTAATAGTATGTGGTGATGCCAAAAATGGATAAAAACGCGTGCCTAAAGGCCAATATATATAATATATATATATATATATATATATCTTAGAGAAATTAAGTTAATATATAATACTGGATAAGCTATAGTTTATGCCGGAAATATGTGAAGGGGATTCACGAATTACTCCTGTTGCCAATTACTACATATAATTTTTTTATTCTAGCAGACTAACTAAAATTGCATGGAAACATGTTTCCGAGAATACCAGAGTAATGCGTTAACGCAATCAGTGTAGTAGGGAGGTTGCATTGTCTACCGGATTTTAAAGCGTTTATGTCGGTGCATATGTAACACACATATTGAAAATAATTGGAAAAGTTTTCTTAAAAATTATATGGCGTAACGCTGAATTTGAATGAAATCGGTCTATACCTTGACCTAAACCCCATAACCCTAATATATTATATAATATAAAATATATATTATTACAATACTATAAAAATATAGTAATGAAACTAATTTTATCTATGACCTATAATACATGTGAATAAGAATCCAAATTAGATTGTAATCCATTTCTTACTTTCGCATTATGAATATTGATTTCTTATGCAACATATTATATTTATGTATACTATACTTATTGCAGAAAATATGTGAATTCGTTGTACGAATTTCGCCAGCTGCCTTACACTACAATCGAGAGTTATCTTCATAAAATTTTGTGAAAATATGTTCTCGCGTAAACTTGAGTCATGTCAAAAGTTAATGCAATTTTAATGAAATTTAGTAGACATGTAATTATTATTATGTTAACTGTTTCTTTGGCTGACATTCCCTCATATACCAAATACGAGTATATTGAATTTATACATATGTACATATGTATGTACAATATATCTCATTTGAGTTAAATTGGTTGATTTTAATATAAATCTTTCTGCCATTAAGCTGTAGTAATCAAAGTAAGTGAGTCTAAGACTTGTAATATATTTATAGCATACATAAGTTAATAATACCCCAAATGTGATTGTAATCCTTTCAGGATTTCGTCAAGTAACGAATTGTGAGTTTTTATGTAACATTTTTTATTTTTAATATTACATAAAGTTTTGCAATACCTGAAAGTATTTCCCCATCTTTGATCTTTGCAAATTGTGAGAGTATAAAATGTTTGGTTGTACCCGAACTTTAGACTAGTATTTGTCATTAAAATAAAATTTTTGTATGTTTCCATTTTAATACAATAATTTGTTGATTATAGATATTGATGTGTTCTGTCCAAGATCTCAAAGAAAATGTTTAAAGACTTTTCTATTTCAAATACTCGCCATATCTGGAATAACATTGATGGTGCTGTTCCTAATCCTGGTTTATCATGCAATAAGGCTTGATAGAGGCGGTAAGTTTTAAAAATTTATGGATGCGCACCTTCAAGTATAATGTATGCATACACTTTCTCGATTGCACCCAGGTAAGGATCATACTTTTGACACATTGAGTTTGGAACATCAAAAAATACAAAATAATTCACCCTTTGTTGATTTACCTCGAGATGGAGGAATTCGAGCCGCTGATGGTCCGACTTCCAACTATGAACATAAAATAACCAATAAGTATTATCCAAGTTTAGACGTCCAGCATTTGCATCCTCCAGTTTCGGACCATCGACATCGTAGAACTCTGCCTGACATGTTGGATCCTGTATTTTTAGAGCGTAGTCCCAACTTCGATAGTCTGTTTACAAAAGTGCGAGACAAGCGAACTCGTAAGGAGTTGGATAAATTAGAGAAGGAATACTTTCGTTGCAAAAAAGAGTCAGTAAAGACTAGCAGTTGCATGGTTGCATTTTTAAAACTGTACTACTTAGCTAAAGAAATCAGTGAGAAAATGGAAAAAATGAAAGAGATATTTAACGATAATGAAGAAACACATACACGGAGCAAAAGTTCGGATTCAAAAGAGTCCAATGAACTCAAAGAAGATGTTCACAAGGACGATAACAGCCATGAAGAAATCACTTCAAAAACGGAGTCCAGCTTAACTACTGTGACGAAAGAAGGTGGCGTTGCGTATCAAAATTCTAGTACTAAGGACGACGAGGAACAAATTCATTTTAGTTGGATAATAGATGGACAAGGCGATAATTTTCCAAATAAAGACGCTACAAAGGAAAGTACAAATGGAACAACACCAAGTATTTTGCCAAAAACAACCACAGACAAGAAAGTTTCACTTGCTGTCTTAGATAGTACTCAAACAACTGTGACTTTGAACAAAAATTTGCCTAATAGTACAGATCATGGAACCGAAAGCGCACAGACGGAAGCACCGAAGAATCATAACGATACAAGTTTTACCCACACAGAAAATGAATCACATAAAATAAGCTGGATTTTAGATGGTTTTGAAAGTGATAATGAAACAATACCCGGAGATAAGCCAGTAATACCCGAGACTAGTGCGAAACCGTTGAAAAAAAATTTTACCACTGAATTTGTTGAGCATACCTCTGCTACAACGCAAGCAACAAAGATGACTGTAGATGATAAACCTGAAAAGATTAGTTGGATAATAGATGGACATCACGAAGAAGATGAAGAACTAAAAGATAAGCTTACGAATACGACACAGTTCAGTTTATCTGAAGAATCAACATTCAGGAGCACAGATAAAGTAACCTGGATTTTAGATGAAAACCAAAATGAAGAAACAACTATGAAAGCTACATCGCAATCAACAATGAAAATAGAAGACAAACCCCATAGAATCAGTTGGATTATTGATGGTAACGATGACAATATTGTAACTGCGTCCTCAACAAGGACCGCTTCGACGTCGACACGCGATATATTTGAAGAATTGGAAGAGGTAACGGAAGCTGTTGAAAAAGAAGAAGATAAGTTGCGCAAATTGAAATACGACTCAATAATTGAAGAAGAAAACAATTCCTATGATCAATACAAATTTGACGTTTCAACCACAACACTTCCTCGTGAGCCAACACCCCACCTGGTAATGAATCAAACGGTTACGCTCACTAATACCACAAACGTTACAATAACTTATGGCGGGGACTGTGTTACAACGCTAAAACCCATACAGGACCTTGAACAGGAACGTATAAGCGGTAACAATGGCTCACATCTACTGGATTATCCTTCCAGTGTGGAGAATATGCTTGACAGCTCTGAGGACCACCACAGTTTTAAACCCATAGGACAAGATATTACTTGGCCAAACAATAAGAATGCTACCACATCCACAAGTACACCATATGATCCTAAAGTTTGGGAGGATCTATTTCGTAAGAACTCAATGGTACAACATCGGCGGGATGAATTGATTGATACATTCGAGATAGGAAATATAGAGTCTATGATGAAATTTGGTGCCAAACTGAATTCAGCAAACACAAATGCTTTCCACGGTATGTTTTTTTATATATATACAACCACTGATTTTACAGTGTAAGCCGAAACATTTTCAGATGCGCAATTCCTGTCGCTGTGTGATCAAATGGCAAGACGTTTGCAAAACAAAGGCACTCACATAGTTTCTGATACTTTCACACCGGCACCGAGTTCGCAGTTTACAAGCCGTGGCCCCGGAGGCTTTCCTGTTACCGGTGAAACAATGAAGGCTACAGCCCAGTTCCTTTACAATCCCAATTTCGGTATGCCTACCATACCTATATGCTTTTACTTAACCCCTGCCAATTTTCGCGTAAGTAATCAGCACCCTATGTGGTCATCATACTTCCAAGGCATGCCAGTCAGCTATACTAGCGGTCCTATGAGTTTCAACACGCCAAATGGTTTTTTCTTTTTGCCTCAGAACGTTGGTCCAACGGCAAATTTCTTTGGTCAAACTGGGAGTACGGGCATTGGCGGGTAAGTACTTCATAGCCCCCATTGGACCATTGCACGTATTTTTTACTTTAGATAGTGACTTGTTGTAGCCAAAGTAACATGGGTAATCTGTTTACGAAGAATGCTGCACCAAGAAAACAGCAACAACAATTCTTTTGCACTTACATGCAAAACAACAATAGTCCCAGCGGTGCCAGTGGTAGTGGACTTGGTAGCAATATTAACGCGATGGGATTCTCCAACGGAAGTTTTAAGATGCGAACGAGCGGTCAAAATCTGTCGAGCGATATCATTTACGCCTCATATACCAATATTCCTGATCATTTGGGCCATGCGGATCATTTTCAGTGTCCACTGCCAGGGCAGACAGGTTGTTATGGCGGCAAAGAGTGTATACAAACAAGTGCTTGGTGTGACGGTTATGTGGACTGTTCCGACAGTAGTGACGAGGCAGCTTGTCGTTGCATAGATCGTTTGGCCAGCAAACGTATTTGTGACGGATATGCTGATTGTCCGATGGGTGAAGATGAACTTGGTTGTTTTGGTTGCTCCGATTTAATATATTCCTGTTATGACAGTCCTGAAGAATATACTGCATTCAATCGGTCGACGGTTTCAATGTGTTACAGTGCAACTGAAAAGTGTGACGGCATCATGAATTGTCTGAATGGACGAGACGAGCTTGAATGCAATATCATTGTTAAAGATGTGATGGATCATATGGTGAGCCACAGATTTAGTAAAAATGATTTTCCCTACATTTTATTTCTTTTCTAATAGTCCCATGCTGTGTCCAGTTCGAGCGGTTTCCTCTTCCGCAATTATCGGGGTGAATGGTATCCTGTTTGCAACAACGCTCAAAAGTGGGCTAATCAAGCCTGTGCTAGTGAATCTGAATTCAGCGCCACACCGAATGTGACTTTTCGTGCGATAACATTACCTGGCCCCTTTATTGAACCGACTTTAGTTGGACAGGCACACTTTCCTCAGTCTTGTCAGCAACGGGATGCACACGATAAGCTCGTGGACCAGGCTGCTTATGTCAATTGCTCAACGTCAATGTGTGGTTTAGTGAAGAAGAAAACTGTAAAAGCTTTTCGTCGAAAACGTTCAAGAGCTATGACGGCATCGCAAACAATGAAGAAGCAACAACAGCGTGGAATATTCAATGGACGCATTGTTGGAGGTAGCTATAGCGCACCAATGCAATGGCCCTTCGTCGTTGCCATATATAGAGATGGCAAATTTCATTGTGGTGGAACAATATATTCCGAAAATTGGGTAACTACATTAATGAATTAAAATTCATAGGTTCCATACATACAAATAAGGATAAGAGAATCGAACTATGCTTTGCAGATTAGCGACAACTTTTTTGATGAGTTAAAAGTGCAATGCCGGAATCGGAAAGATCCGCTCATTTATTATTTGTGCGGTTTGTTATAAAGTTTTGCTCTTTTCGGCTTAATTTGATACAAATGGTGGTTTTGGGAAAGCATTGGTATCTTTGAAAGTTTGCATACAATGCTTCGATTTGCAGCTTCGTCGCTTTAAGCTGAAATATCAACGCATCTATCGAACCATCCAATGCATCTATCGTTAGATTTGAAAGAACTTTTCGAATTAGGATATTAGACCATTTATTGTACCAACGTCCCAAATACTTTATTTCATTGGTCTGGACTTAAAGTAAACCGGTATTCCGTTGTACTCAATTATAAGAACATGAGTACTCATACATTATATTTTTGAAAAATTAACGGTACACATTTATCATGCCCAAAAATATACTGAAATATATTATGCTAGTAAAACATTTCGCATTAAAATCATTCCTTTGTCGTTATTCCGAAGTCTTATACTTTAAAGGAACACCGATTTCCAATCCACTGTTCTGAAAATGCGGGTTAAATGGTTTTTTAGTCTATAGGATTTCGGTGAGACTATTCTGATTATCTTCCAATATCCCTATTGAATTGATTTCATAGCATTATTTACTTATTCTTGATTTTATTTGCAAATATTTTTTAGGAACATCTGTAACATACATACATGAACTCTTCCTATCTCTTATTGATTAATAAGTTTTGGATTCTGTATAATTATAAATAATAATTTTCATTCATAGATTCTTAGTGCTGCTCACTGTGTGATAAACTACCATAAATATTATTATGAAATTTACGCTGGATTGTTGCGCCGAACGAGTTTTTCGAGCTCTACTCAAATCCGAGTGGTATCTCATATAATTGTGCATCAGGCATATGAGAGGCGTAGCATGCGTAACGATCTTTCGCTTTTACGTATGAGCGAATCACTGAATTTTAATCGTTGGGTGAAGCCAATATGCTTACCCGATATGGGTCGAACTACTGTTGGCGAAGATTGGATCTGGGGACCGGAACAGAACACGTTATGTACGGTTGTGGGTTGGGGCGCTGTACGTGAAAAAGGACCTGGAAGTAAGAAAAAAGTGTAACAGTGTTAAACAATTCATTCAAGTGCTGAATTCTTCGATTTTAGGTGATCAATTACGCGAGGTTGTTGTACCAATAAGGAAGCAATGTACAGAACTGGATGATAGACGGTCTGAAGACGTTTGCGCTGGTGATTCTGATGGTGGACGCGATGCCTGTCAGGGTGATTCCGGCGGTCCCTTGTTCTGCCGCAGTGCTAACAATACTGAAGAATGGTACTTGGCTGGAGTTGTCAGCCACGGCAATGGTTGTGCGCGTCCCGGTGAATTCGGCGCATATACCCGCGTTGCGCTCTACTTGGACTGGATCGAAATGGCGAAACAATTTCTAGCGAAACTTCAGCCACGGTTAACTTGTCCCGGTTACATTTGTGTGTGGGGAGGGAAACGCTGCATACCTAAAAAGCAGCGTTGCGATCGAGTTGTGCACTGTTTAGGTGGTGAAGATGAGGTAGGGTGCACTTACAACTTCATTCCAGATATGGTCGGCAGTAGCATAAATGAAACAGCAACAACTGAAAGTGATTATTATCCCGAAAATGTGGTGACACTCCCACATTGCAAAGCAGCGGAAACAGAACGCCAGGCCCGCGTGGACGAAGAGGAAAATGAAGATAGTACAACAGTATTTACAACAGAAATTCGAACAAGTGTTCCAGAGGATACTAAAGCCAGTAGAGTAAGCTCCACTGAGTTTAGTACGACGGAAATAACTAGCTCAGAGTCTATTGTGGAAGAAACTACTATTGCACAGACCCCTATCAAAGAATCAAGTGCTCCAGAAGTAAACAGCACTAAACCGACAACTATCGAAATCAGTACCGCGGAGCCCACTACCGTAGAAAGTGAAACCACACAGTGGACTGTAGCAGATACTACCGTAACCTCTGCCACCACGTCGGAAGCTATTACGACTACTACGGTAGGCAGTACTACAGAAATGAGCACTGTTGCTATAAGCACAACAGTGAGAGTTGAAACAACAGAAATGACCTCTACGGAAGTAACAACTGAAATTCCGATAACCTTTGAAATCAAAACAGAATCGTTAACGCCGTTTGATGTTGAAAATTTAGTTACAACTCATGCAACGGATGCTACGCTATCTACTACTGCCAAACCAGATACAACTCAGACATCGAAAAAAATAATAATTGATGTAACTTTAACTTCGGAAGCATCTAATGATTCAACTACGAGAAGACCTAAGAAGATTTTTAATTCTACTATGCCGGGAAAATTCGTCTGTCAAAGGTGTGTATAAATAGTAATAATATGTATTTTCTCGGATATATGTATATACGAGTAACTTCTTTTGTCATGGTCTTGGGTAATGTGTATCGCAATTTGTCGTGTTCGGTCGTCTCACATTTAAATAAAAAAGCAAGGGTGTTTCTGAAATATCGCAATCCTTTGAAGTTTCACACTGTATGTAAGTCAAGTAAATTTTTGTGACCATCAATTTTCTACTCTAGTTACTTCTGAGCTGTCTTGGCCGGGTTGGGGTTACTTCATCCGAATATTTTTATATTCTTGCAACATCTTGCTACAGAGTATAATATTTTTGTTCACCTAACGGTTGTTTGTATTACCTAAAACTAATTGAGATAGATATAGGGTTATTTATGTAAACAAGTATATAAGTGTTCAGAATGACGAGACGAGTCGAAATCCGCATGCCTGTCTGTTCATTCGTCTGTCTGTGTAAGCTGTAACTTGAGTAAAAATTAAGATATCGTAATGAAAATTGGACGATCGTAGATGGGCGTAATTGGACAACTGTCGCGCCCACAAAACGCCATTAATCCAAATCATATAAAATGCCATAACTAAGTACTAAATTAAGATAAAGAAAATAATTTGGCACAGGGAAACGCAGTAGCAAGGGTCATCTGTAAGCTAAATATGTTGAAAAAGTGGGCGTGGCCCGCCCCGTAAGAGGTTTAATCTACTCATCTTCCAAACCAATGATGCTGTGATAACTGAAATAGCTCAGGACAAATCACTTATGCACCACTATTGACACTGTAAAAATGGATGAAATCAGATGATAACCACGACCACTGCCCTTATAATGGTACTTTTAAAAACTACTATAAGCGCGATAAATCAATAAATAAATACACCAGTCATAAAATTTTACACTTGAGATGATATAACATGGCTTTATAGGAACCGGTGTCAAAATTGGATGATGGGCAAGGCACCGCTCACATTTAGAAATCTCAGAACCTACTCGATCGAAATCCACAATTTTAAATTCCATCTGATTTTTTCACTTTCAAAATAAATCTTTGCACGAATAGTGCCTTTAAGATGTGTCAGCTAATGACCAAAAATTGTCAAAATCGGATAGTGACTATTCAAGCCCCTATATACCGAATATGTAGCGCTAGGTATTATTTACAATACCTTATGATAAATATAGTGTTAATATAAAGTTTTGCCAACGCCGGAAAGTAAGTTCCCAGATTTCCTCGTTGTTATAATTTTACATTAAACATTTTTAATCATAAAATGTGGACATCATAATTGGTTGGGAATGCATCGATTACCTCATTATAATTTAGGACAAAATACATACTTTTCTTAACCATAATATAATGATTTTTATACCTCTCGTAGACTACTTAGCGTTCCCAAACCATTTTATGTCTACAATAACAAGCTCATTAAATTATATCAGCGCAAAGTCTATCAGAGAGGCGAACTTTATTATCAAGTATATAGAGGCCAGAAGAATATTCGAGTCGATTTCGTATATTTTTGGCATTGAGCTAAAGTAAAGCTGACAGTATATATATATTTTGTTAATATTACTCACACATTGATCGATAAATAATATCAGTATCATCCGGAATAATGAAAATCATTATATTATATATAGAGCTACGGCGGGCTCCGAACTGCATTGTATCCATCATACGACTTCACTTAATTTTGTTACAATATCTAAGATAATGATCGTTATGTTAGGTATATTGTCTAGCGGAAGTTCGAAATTTATTATTACAAGTTTGGTCGCTAGGCGTACTGAACTGATTTTACCGATTTTTGGCACATTATTATCAAGAAAGATGCCCTCCTTATTTCATTCAGAAGTCTTACAAATGAACCTATATTTTCTTTATAAAGTCAGCCATTGGCATTGAGGTCTCTAAGTTCGGTATATGAGGGCTTGAAAATTATTATAGATTTCGGCAATTTTTAGATGAGAAGGGGTACACTTTGGATAAACTATTTGTACAAAGTTCCATTGTGATATCTCCATTGATGCTTGATTTATCAGTTGTGATGTGAAAATATCTCATGCAATTAAAAATTATGTCATATGCGAAGTAGCCAGATTTTATACATTGTGTGTCATAAAATTGCCAAAGCAATTTTATTTATAAAATTTTGTTAAAATTAATGGAGTTTTAACCAATTCTCATGCAACCCTCTGTACTATCTGTATGGCGTTTGATTTAGAGAGTTATCACACTTTTAATAGTTTTGAATATATCCTTTGTATGGGTTAATATCTGATTTCTACCCATTTTCACACTGAATTATGAAATATCAGACAAAACTGTTTCTACAAAGTTTGGTTGATCAGTTTCAGCAGTTTGTAAGATACGCATATGAATGTTATTTCTTTTATAGGACGGTGTTACGCCCACTTTTCAAAAAGCTTTAGAGTTATTAGAGTTTTTAATTTTAAATGTACCTCTTTACTGTGATCCTCTGTACCAAATTTCACTTTTGTAATTTAATTTGTGGCATTGTAATTTTCGCTTAAGGGAATTTTGTGGACGCAGCAATGGGCCGATTTCACCTATCTGCAATACCAACCTCCTCAGAGAGCAATGGAACACTTGTACCCAGTTTTTTCAAGATATCTCAGTTTTTACACGGGTTATCACTTACATGAGCCGACGGACGTACAGACAGACGGAATTCCAATTTTGCATCCTGATCTTTAAGATATATCTATCTTTGATACCTCTATATCTTACCTACATATACGCTACTAGTTTTAGATAATACAAGCAAGCGAGATGTTACGAGAGTATAAAAGTCTCTGAGTTCAGGCAATTGTCTTATAGCATTAGACTAGGTTATTTCTTACAAATTAAAACCCTAATTGAGGCAAAGATTGTAAGAGATGTCGATCTACAATAATATATTCCGCTGTAAATAACCTGTAATTAAAGACGTGTAAATTTTCGATTAACGTTTTTGCCGTTTAACTTTTAGAATACCGCAAATTGTGGAGTTGGCAAATCGATGCGATCGAATTTTAGACTGCGAAGATGGCACGGATGAGGAGTCCTGTACTTGCCGTGACTATTTAAAAGGATCTCTAAATATACTCATTTGTGATGGAAAGGCTGACTGTGAGGACTTGACAGATGAAGAGAATTGTGGTAAGTATTACATGTACATCTACATATGTGTGCATGTATGGTATATAAGGAGAGTTATATATAAATATATTTTAGGCGATTGCAATGACAGTGAATTCCTGTGTCCACTTTCGAAAACTTGTGTGCCGCTCCAAAAACGTTGTGACGATGGTATCGACTGCGCTTTTAAGGAAGATGAAAAGGACTGCTGTGAGTAATCTCCATCTTCAGTTATAAAGTTTATAAAGGTGTGTACACTATACCTTGATAATTTTTTTTGCTTCATAGTTGCTCTAACGAATGGCAAGCAAATCGTTTTGGACACCGATAGGCGACCCGTTTTGAATAATGTCGGCATATTTTCTCGTAATAGTCATGGTAAATGGCGTGTGGTGTGCTCTCATGAGATTCCCTTCTCGGAACCAATTGTCACGACAGCAGTAAATGTATGCGCACAGCTTGGTTTCAAAAGTCTAAAATTCTATAACACAACTAAACTCATTACGCACGACTCCATAGTACCCATTCATCCGGATATCCAAAAGAAATCTAAAAATTTGCGTACACACTTCTCTGCCATAGCAGAGGACAATCACCATTTCTCCGATGTCGAACGTCAATTTCGTGTAAAGGATCATGCATTCAAAGCTCGCACTCAATTCATTGAACGTGTGAAGGATGAGTGCTTCGGTCTCTTCGTGGAATGTGAAGCCAAAGCTTATAAAGTGGAGCCAATTAAGACCGTAAGTGCGGGAGAGGAACTATCGCCAACAGACTTGCCTTTATCTGTTCTGAAGCCGGATTTAGAAACACATGGAAAGCCGAACGTCTTCGTACCACCGCCATCAACACTGTTTATGGTGAAAAAGAAAGACGAAGTGCTCGACAAGTTAAACGGTTTAATAGAAAGCCGTAAAAATATGTCACTTTTGATAGATAATAAATTGCATGAGGCTGTGGTGGAGTTACACTGGCCGTGGGTAGTTGATGTGTACGTCGATGGGCGGCTGTGGTGCGTTGGCGCCTTGGTTGATAAATATTGGGTGTTGGTACACGAGTCTTGTCATTATGGTGTTAGGTGATTAAGTTTTTTATTTTAATTGAAAAAAAAAATTTACATTTCTATTGATCTTTGTAGATTCAATGCCAATTATATTGCTGTTCTGTTGGGTGGTAGCAAAACGAAAAGTCTACGCCACAAAAGCGCTCACGAACAGATACAACGGGTCGATTGTTTTGAGCAGGTGCCCAAGAGCGATGTCCTGCTGTACCATTTAGAAAAACCGGTCCGTTTTACACACCATGTATTGCCGACGTTCTTACCTGACTTGTAAGCATCACTAAGATAATTTCTAAGTTGATATAGAGCGTTAAACTATTACTTACAGTGCCAAAGACGAGGCTGATGAGTCTTACCAATGCATTGCCATTTTACACGACGAACAGACTGGTCGTATAAAAGCGGTATCCGCTATTGAGGAACGAAATGATGCTCTTTGTACAGTATCGGATACATCGTGTTTTCGTCTAGTGGCAAATAAACCACCAACACAATTAACCGAGGGGCTTGGATTGAGCGATGAGGATTTTGCAAGCTTATCAGAGGAAATTGCGCTAAATGAAGATTTTGATAACAGCAATGACTCGATGGGGTCGACAATCTCTCGCTTCACAACATGCACACAATTCGGCAAGAAGGGCGTTAGTCACACAGCTGTCGAACCTGTCGATCAAGGCATTTTGGCATGTCGACAATCAGATTCCGGCTGGTTCCCAATGGCTTTATTCGACTACAATAATACGAATTGCTACAGCTTTAAGGATTCATTTGCTTTGCGAACCCTAGAAAAAGTTTACGGTGCTATACAGAAATTAATAGGTCGGCTGGGATCCAAATATGTGTATTTAAATGTTATAATGTTGTTTATTCACCCCTCTTATAGATCAACCGAAATGTGAGCATTCTAACGGGGCACCGGTCTGTAGCACTTTTCGTTGCACACTCGGAGATTGTTTAGAAGAGGAACAAATCTGTAACGGAATGAACGACTGTCATGATGGAGCTGATGAAGATAAAGAAATGTGTATTGGGCGTAAAAAAGGTTGGTGAAATTATTTATAGTCAAAGATTGGAGTTAAAGGCCAAAGGAGTCTAATATTCCGACCTGAAGAACTATCGGCTAACTGCATATTGCAAAGAAAATTTCTTATGGATCTTAAGTTCAAGTGGAATGATTCGGAGGTTATTAAGGGGATATATTAAAAAGTTCAAAAACCGGACTTAAAGTATTCCACAACTTTACACTGTTGGTTCTAAACTGAATGAGGAGACCCTATATTATTAACTTTACTGCGAAGTGATCTTTTACTCTATGAAAGTTTTATGGAAGAAAACTTTCAGTAAATGTATTTATTTAAAATAATTAGTTTCTTCTGAGTATGTTAGTCGGGGAGGGTTGCATTACAACTTTATCACGGAAAGTCGTTTTTGAAACCAATGAAACTTAAAACTTGGAAATGCTTAATATTCGTGTTTGGCCTAAAAACACCAACATCTCGAAGTTCAGCATCAGCAAAGTTCAAACACTAGGGCACTCTTAATCTTAACTTTAATTTTATTGTGGAGGCATGATAATATATTTAAGAAATCAAAATCATGAAATATATCGTGGAAAAAGCTTATCATACCTTTAAAATACAACACCTAGCTTATTACAGTTTTGTATTATTGTTATTAAATTTTTTTGGAAATATGCAGTTTGCCAGCCATCGGAGATGAAATGTAGGTCTACATACAAGTGCATACCAAAGACGAAATTTTGCGATCACATAGCCGACTGTGATGACCTGACTGATGAACCTACTCTTTGTTCCTGTTACACATATCTGCAGTAAGTTGAAATTAATTTGCAGATTATTAATAGCTAATAAATATTTTTAGAGCCACAGATCCTAAGAAAATATGCGATGGCATACGCAACTGCTGGGACAAAAGTGATGAAAGTCCAGCGATTTGTAATTGTACCTCGAGTCATTTTCCATGTGGCGCGTAAGTAACGAATGTTTCAAAACTTTAAATTACTTCTTTATTTTTGTAATATAAGATCTCTGCTAAATAGAGAGAAAAATTTCGAAAACATATGTTTTACTTATAAAAACTCCTTTTATGAGCCTTGATATTTTGTGTACCGGAACCCCTATCTCCGTTCTTCACTATAATTTCCAAAGGTATCCGAAAACGTATCCATATGATTACGGAATAGCCTAACTTGACACTCTTACAAGTATTTGTTCTTAGAGTCTGAAAGTTTATCAGCATAATTTTGACAATTATTTTTTCAGATTATATTCATTCATACACTCCGAATATAGGGATTGAAAGACTTGACAGTAATGACAAGACAGAAACATCTGTTTCAAACATTTATTTATCGGTCTAACTAATGAAAAACGGTTATTTTAAAATATGTTGACTATCATAATTAAGTTTCTGAAATTTTCAATTATTTGGAGCTTAGAAGGGAGCTTTTCGAGCTTTGGCGACAGCGAATGTTTCAAAAATAAAATGGAAATCCAACGTCTGCGATAATTCTGCCTATAGTTAATCCTGAAATCTTAACCAGTGACGAGCACGACCGATGCAAAATTTGGATCCTTGCTAAAGCACTAAGCGAACGTTCCGCATTTAAAACAGAGACTGGTAAAGTCCAAAATATTTTTAAGGCGATGCAAATAATTGGGAAAGGTCTTCCTAATTTTCGAACATTGATAACGTTCAATAAGTTGAATGGAGTAAGACGGGTTTCAAAATTTGTATCGTAAATGTGTCTGAGGTAAATAGCTTCATTGGATAACTTATCAGATACATCCACGGAATACTTTTTTACAACATTTTTTGCAGCTGCGTTGAGTTTATCTTCATTCATATCATGGAACTGCCAGAGAAATGAGAACGATTTCTTCTGAATTTCTTCTTTACTGCAAGTTTAATCCACTTCTTCATGTAGGTCGTTTTTGTGTTTTTTTTCTTGGTGATAGTAAAATCGTCTCGACATGCTTTAAATTCTTGGCAACAATTTTGTTTTCAGTATAAATTACTTTTTATTGGTCGGACAGAAATTGCAAATCCACAAGAAGGCTTTCTATGTTGACAATTTTAAATCATATTGAGGCCATCAAAACGCACCCAAATTTGCTCATGAATTTCAAAATTCTATCAACGTTCTGATGAGTTTCTATTATAAGGTTCAAAGCGTTTATCAATCTGGGAAGATTTTTCGCCAATGGCTTGACGGCACAGATTATGGCAGACCACCTTCTATTAGGAACACAGTGAAGTGTTTCTCGAGGACAGCATTCAGCCGAGTCGACGCCAGCCAAATTAAGCGTGTGGGCACCATAGGGCGAAAGAACTATATACTTATTTTTACGTTGGACGTGATTTTGTGCTCCTTCTTATTACTATTATTATCGTAGCCCTGTCCATGACCATCTCCCAAGGAAATGTTGTAAATTTCCAATGCGGCAACAGCTTTGCCGAATTTTCCCTTTCTCGTTGGCCCTGAAGCTGTGTTACTTATGTAATAGAAAATCGATCATATATATCACCCTCATATCGGTTCACAGAGAGAGTTAAATGTTCTGTTGCTTATAAAATAACTACTGATCCACTGCTACACTTTTGTTTGTCTTTTAAATTTTGTTGTATTTCGTGAATTACTCTCCAATATTGTATTAATTTATGCGATGATTGATTAAAAATCATTAATTTTTCAGTTCCTCAAGGGAATGTGTGCCACGTGACTTTGTTTGCGATAAAGAGCCTGACTGTCCGAATGGCGAAGATGAGAAATATTGTGTGGGCCTCGAATTCCCACAAGAGCTGATAACGCAAAAGGCCGGCTTCACTAAGCCACCGCAAATGTAAGCTACGGTTAATAACACGGATCTTTATACAATTTACTACCTTTCTATCTCCCAACCTAGCAAACACAAGCAATTACCACAATTCGGTCAGGTGATCGAGCAGTCCTATGGCGTGTGGCATACAAAATGTTTCCCGCGTAATAGTCCACCAGATGTGAAAGAGGTGCGTCAAATATGTAAAAAGCTTGGCTTCAGCCCATACAAACAGCCAAGTTATCGCATAATTGATGATGCAGTCAAGAAGGTGGTCGAGACAAATGAGTGGCCTGATCAACGAGGTCGCAGCTTCGGCGATGACCATGAGCTACCGCTAGCCGAACGTTATCGCAGTGCCACTAAAGCCGTAGTGGTCAGTAAATTCTCACCGCTGAGCCTTAACGAAGAGTTGACGCTATTTCTGAAGCCCAGCAGGCACATCGCTGAAGTGGCGCATTGGAATGCGACCGACTCTGACAGGTGTTATAGGCTCGAAATAAAGTGTATGTAGTTGAGTAATATTATCCAAATTAGTAATTTAGGTGTGTATTTACTTTATGAAATGTTAGCTGTCAAATTAGTTACAGATTTAGGAAATTTTTTTGTACTTTTGTAAAAAATTTAAATAAACATGAAAACTGAAACTTCTGTGTACTCACCTAAGATCAGTGCTCAAAAGTATCATAATACTTAATCTGAAAGTATTTACATTTCGTTGGAAATGGCATCGTTTATTACGTTTACTCATATATTTGCTAGTATGTATTTATATTCTTATTTACAATGTGTTTTGGCGTGTTTTTGTTTAACAGTTTCTTGGTCCAAAACGACAGCTTAAACCTCGAAACGTTTTAGTATATCTTTCAGCATCATTTTGTAGTTTATTTAGTAGTAGTTATGTATTTTAAATTTGATCTTAGTAAGTTCAAAAATAGTTTTTTGTGAATAAGGGAAGGATGTTCATTTAATAAAATGCAAATTTTTTTTTAATGATTGTATTATCACTAAATTGAAATTTAATAATCGTTCTGGTTTCCTCAAAAGCGTGCCATTCATTGGATACTTCAAGTTTAACTCTTTCTTCTGAATAACTTGTTAATATTTCTATGGTATATTGGTGTAACAATTATCGTTTATATAAAAAAACCTATTTTAAATATCCAAAGTTAAAATGTTAAATTATTAAAGCACTCATATGTATATATATACGTTTGTGTTATAGGATAATACAGCTTTTTTTAGTTTTAGTACTCTTCAGTTAGCTTTGGTATCGTTTCAAGTTAAGAATTTTAATTTTCGTTTCTATTATATTTACTTTAAATATTTCTTTGTTTCTTACTTCGTATGTTATGAATATTAAATTCGTTAATATATTTATAAGGATATAGTCAATAAATAGTAGTCGTCTTCCATACGCCGCTTCGCAGTTCGCTAAACTTCAGCTCTGCTCTCTTCTCAAAAAATTTATATTCGAAAGCAACAATAAAGTTGTACAGTTGAATTCAATGCGAGAGGTTATGTAAATGCCCCGTTAAAGCTGTGCTTGCTCCATTTCATTTATGACAGTTTTTTGCTCGATTCGTCAATATCTAATTTGTGACGAATCGAAGACGACAATAGGGTAATATGTTTTAGCAAAATTATAACAAGTTTAACATTTTTTTTAGAAAAAAGTTTCTATGGCTAAATAAAACAGTTTTATTTTCTAACTAGCTTAAGTATTAGTAGATCTTTTTATTACCGTTAAAAAACTTTTTATTATTTACTAAAAATAAAAATTGTGTAAATATATAGCCTAAATAGGTATAATAAAAATTAAGTTTCAAGGCGAAATTTTTGTAAAGTGCTTACAGTAAATTATTTTAATTATGTAAAGGTGATGTAAAGTGCAGAGAAAGCGATTAGTCACAAGAGTCTGTAAGTTTGTAACGAGTTTTTTTTAGACGTGGGATTTTTAATGAGACATTACTTTATTCGTTGTTGGTATTTTAGACAGCTGGCACTAGATTTACTCACTTTTGCTTGAATGGGTTCGTAAATAAACAGAATTGGCGCATTTTGAGTGATGATAATCTACAAGCCATTGTTTAAACGGCGTTACATCCCCGAAAAGTCACTATTTTGGGCAAAGGAAAACATTGGTCCATATTTCCAACAAGACGTCGCCACATGTCATACAGTCATGGTAAGAACATTCAATTTATTAGGATTATCGAAAGTGTCCATCTCTCACGAAATATCATTTAGAGAATATGTAAAAGAGAGCGTAAGATGCGGTGGACCACATTTTTACCCATAATATATTTTACTTGATTAATATTACGGTAATCGGTTATTGTATTCAGTGGCGTAATTGCTAATATTTGTTAAGTACTAGCGGCATCTTTTTTACAAAATAATTTTATAAATTTCTTAAAATCGTTGGTAGCCTTGAAACGTATTTTGACCTAAAATGCTGGTTTACACTTAGTGCTAAGAAATGTATACACTGAACATGGTATATTCAGTTTGCCAGAAAGTCTGTAACACCCAGAAGAAATCTTCAGATACCCTATAAAATATACATGCCCTAGTTTCCCTCAGTTTTGGGGATATCGATCTGAAATTTCGCTGATGATCTTTCCCCCCCAAGGAGCTCATTTGTCGGAACCGCCAATATTGCATCACTATAGACTATAGCTACCATACAAATTGAACGATCAAAATTAAATTCTTGTATGGAAATTTCTTTATTTTTGATTTCTATAGCTTCGGTGCATCCGAAGTTAACGTTTTTTGTTGTTTTAATTAAAAATCCAAGTTGTTTAGGTTGAAAATACCTTTTTTTTTTGTATGAGTATTTCGACATTATGTAAGAGTAAGGAATTGTTAGTTAAATTTATTCCTTATTAAGTAAATTTATTGGTTAGGTAAAGGATATAGAGATGTAGTTATGAGGGAGAAGGAGATTGGAGAAAGAGAGATGATAGAAGTTAAAAAAGTATCCTTAAAAAAATAAAATATGCAAGCTTAAAATAGTAATTAGTTGCTTTTTAAACCTCACACGTTTTTTTATGTTTAGAAAAAAAGTGTATACTTGTATGTATTGTACTTGAATGTTTGAAACTAAATTCGGGAGTTTTTGAAACATAAATTCATGCCAAAGTAATAGTGAAATCAAAGCAGTAAGTTATTTAAATAATAATCAAATTATGTGCATTATTATTTATAGTATATTCATATTTATAGATTATTATTTTAAACTTTAATTTTTTTGTGTATATACAAAGATATACATAGATTACAACTTACAAATCAGTTTCAAACACTTGATGTCAATCACATTTTATATAAATAAGTAATTACATTGTTTTTAAATATACATGTCTCTAGTAGTAGTTTATTATAATTAAGATACAAGCCCTGAACAATTTAATAAAAATATTGTACGTATTTAACTTTTGTTTCACATACATAAAATGGGTCTCCTTAAGTCTAGGTGCGTCGCCAAACATCCACCCTACCTACATACATACTACAAGTATATGTGCATAGAGGTTTATACCAATAGGTATTTATGTACCAAGACCTTTTATATCTTATATTTGCTAGACCACTTAATTATTTTTTTATAACGCTTTTACAAGCTTCACCTGTATGTTTGTATGTTTGTTTCTTTTTTGTGCAAGTTAATAAATTGAAATATCTTTATGATACTGTGAAAATGGATAAAATCTGATAATAACCACGCCCATTTACCATAAAACGGTTATGTTGAAAACTGCAAAAAGTGCGATAGCTCACTAAATAAATGCGCCATAAGCATTAAATTTCACAAACAAGATGGTAGATAAGAACTTCATAGAAGGTGTAAAAATTCGAAAATGCTCGTGACACCACCAACCTTTATGTGAAATCCCATATTTCAGGAACTATCGAACTAATATCAACCAAATTTATTATATGAGGTTACCCAGCCATTCCTATAGTACAACGACTAAAAAAATATGCAGCTGAAAGACTGAACTATCCATCCTGAAAAAAATGCCCCTAAAACCATGCAGCTAAAAGCATGAACTGTCCATGCTGTCGTTTTAATAACAAATTTGCTCAAACGCATCGTTAAAGAAAGTGAAAACACCACATGTGGCTAAATAATAAGTATGGTTTCAAATACTAAAAAACATGCTTTTAAGCATATTAAACTAAAAAGTGAAAAATAAATCTTTATTTAAAATCACAGAAATATTGACCGAAAAATACTTTTTTTATTGTAAGAAAAGCGTGGGATGGCTTGTGCCACATTTTTCGTATATCGAGCACATCACACTTTTCTCACAATAATACAAACATATATATATATATACCCTTGCAACAAGTTGCTACAGTGTATAATGGTTTTGTTCACCTAACAGTTGTTTGTATCACCAAAAAATAATCGAGATATATATAAGGTTATACATATATAAATGATCAGGATGATGAGAAGAGTTGAAATGCGAGTGAAAGCTGTAACTTGAGTAAAAATTAAGATATCTTTATGAAACTTGATACACGTATTACGGTTTTGTTACAAAATTAGTAGGATTACATCTTGGATGACTATTTATAGGCGCAGGTCTCAAATTTGAACTGCTAGTATATTACTAAGAGCCAAAAGAACCTCGCAGCTGCGCAATTGCTGGTAGTTGGCAGCGCTGAACGAACCCGCGAAGTCTAGTCGCATCGTCTAAGGTTATACTGTAGTATTACAGTAAACTCTGACTCGTTCCCATTTTAATAATTTTGAGTCGAGAGCAGTCTTACGTATAACCACAGTATTATAATAATTTTTACAGTTAAGTTCAAGTTCTTCTGACGACTACCGTAGTGGTCAGAGTACTCTAAAATATATAGCGTTTTAAAAAGACATTACTACAAGATTGTGAAACCCCGTAAACACGCTTATGTTATCCAAACTTTACAGAAATTTTCGTCACTCTTTAATAAAGTCCTTTGTTGTGAAGACTGTAAATATTTCTCATTTCCTACCTGACATCTAGCAGCTGACATTACTCGATATGATAATAATGAAATGTGAGGTACATTAATGAAACCCTGGAAGCATTTTATTAGTCTGTGACATGTTAGTAGTATGTGGTATTCGCAAATTTGATAAAATCGGGTCAATACTACCCCCAACTCCTATATACTACATATAATGATTGATTTTCGTTTTTCTAACAAGTTTTATGGCGAATATTTCGTTCAGTGTGTAAGTTAAATATATAAAAAATTGCTTGAAAATACGTTCAGAAATATACCTTACCAGTGTCCCATGCCCCTTTCTTTGTCCCCAATATACCTAATATAATGATTTCCGTCTTTTCTTCTGACTTTAAACCGTTTAGGTTGGTCATAAAAATTTCTAATATAATGACTCCTCTGGTTGTCATCTTCCACATCACCTAAATATGTATTAGGTATTAAATTTAGACTCTTCGGTTAAGTTGATATTACATGTATCTCATTTGAAAATATTTTTAACTTAATATTAGTTGACACGAACTAAAATATATCAATAAAATTGAGTCTAACTTAATGATCTAAGTCAGGAAGATACTAAATTTGATTGTAATTTATTCTCGATTTCTTCAAATAATGGATGTTTAAATTTTGTGTAACATTTTTTAATATAAAGTTTTGCCACCACCTGTAGGCATTTGATTCTTGCAAGAGTTTAAAATGTTCGGTTACATCCGAACTTAGCCTTACCTTACATGCTCGGTCAATATTTCTGTCAGTTTATATATGGAATTATTTTTCACTTATTAGTTTGAAGAGCTTTAAAAGCGTGTTTTTTAGTTTTTTTAAACTAAATTTTTTTAAAGAAGGGTCATAAGAAAGAAGCGATTAGTTCGATGTTTTAACAAAGGATCAAATAGCCACCATACGTTTAAATATAAAGTTTTATAATAATAACTAATTCGCAAAGCGACTTAAAATCAAAACCGAAATAAGACTTTCCCACACGTTTTTCATGGCAAAAAAATAAGGGGAAGCCAATATAAAATATTATACATAAGATTATAGTTCAATATAAGCAGGTGTAACCGAACATGTTTGTAAGAAAATGAAGAGAAATTAATGTTTCCCCTTTGGGTATATCATATAGAACACAACAGTAGCTGAATAAAATACGCTGTCAGAGGATAAGTGAGTTATTAGAGCTCACTAGCAATTGAGAGATAAAAAGTTCAGAGTAAGCAATATTGATGTAGAGTTCGACCTAACAAGTTAAACATAAAACAAATATATTTATTGAGAAATCTTTGAACGTTTTTGGTTGTGACAGAAAATGAGCGTTTGAGCGGAATTTAAAAAGTTATGGGAAAGAAGATTGATGAATAACTGGAGCGAAGTAGTTTTGCAAATTATTAAAGTGAATCTTTACTATATTTGAGAATGGATATCCAGAGCGAATAGGAGTATATGACGTTATAAATAACAGTATAATTAGTTTTTTCTCAACTAAAGAGAGTTTTAAATTTGATATTTAAGATCTTTTTCAATTTAAAAAAAAACTTGTAACCGAAATTATGAAAAGATACTTTAAGCGAGTGCATGATTGTAACGGAATGGTTTTTGGTTATAGGTTTGGGAAATGTCTTTTATCTTTTATACTTGTTATTTAAGTATGGGCGACTATAAATACTTTTAATGCAACTTAAATTTTAGCAAGAATTTTTATTGAGTCTGAAGCATTGCTTTAGTACGAACATTACTTAAGAATTTGTGAAAATGCACGAGTATTAGTTGGTAATTATAAATAGTATTTGAGTATAGCTTCAATAGCGACCACAACCCTAGCATTTTTGCCAAATTTTAGTTTAATAAAATCTAATACTATACAGAGATTAGCAGGACAGTGTGCATGATATAGTGTAGTAGTATATTTCAAAAAGCAACGAGGGGGTGTTTTTATAAAAAATCACAAAACACTATCTTCTAGTTTTTATCTAATCTATTGCTAGTGTGTTATATACAGATCAGCAGTTTAGGTTATGTTACGTTTTGGGTATTATCACTGCATTTAATGGTATTCCGTCGCTTTAAAACACTTATCATACTTATATATATTTCATGTACAATATCTCGCTACACAAGTTCTATTTTCTCTTTCGTTATATAATGTTTAATTTTTTTATTATGATTTTATCATTTTTCCTTACCAGTCTGGGTAGTAGTTTTCATTTTCGCTATGTGTACGTATATATATATTCAAACGTTGAGATATAGGTCGTTCAAATTCAGTTTGTGCTAAATATATTCTTATAACGAAACACGAAAATATAAACAAAAACAAAATTAAATAAAAAATAACGCTTTGGCCTAGAGATTTGATCAACCATAGATAAGTTCAAGACGATCGATTTTATTTTTCTTGGATTTGGCTTAAGTCAAAGCATTACGCCAAATAGACTCTACAATAATATTAAAATTTGAAGTTTCAAAATAATAGTTTAATATGCTTCTCGCACAAATTAATTGCCTTTATATATATACCTCTTTATTATCTTTGCCTAGCTAATTTGAATATATATAATATTAGATTGAAGTTTGAGGAATGCCCTGCGATCTGTGGTCTATTGTGCCCATATATAATATATCTAGTACAACTAAAATTATATTAAGTAGGTTAAATACTTATGGTTATTAGTTAGGTTGTAAAAATTGTTCAAGGGAAAATGTCTTCTTTAGAGTTATGCTGTTGGGTTTACAGTTCTTGTCCGATTATACGTATAACTTCAAATCCATTCCATTAATGTAGACATAACAGCCTTAGGAACGGTATCAGTATCAAGAACGGTCTCAGTATCAGAATATAACCCTGTAGACTATAATTGGCAATCATTTCTCCAGAAATAGACTAATGTGCGTACGTTAGGGTGTTACGTTTACAAAATAGTTAAAAATATTATTAAATAAAATAGTAAAAAATTAAACCCAAACGATTAAAACATAAACATTTATTTAAATGAACCCCTAAGACTAAATTACATTTCTTCAATAAATAATTTATGTAAGTTTGTGGTGTGACAGAAGTGCCTAAGTAATTATTTGTTTATATAGAAGTAGGAATTAGCACTTATTCTCGAGAGCATACATCTGTGTTGAATAAAACTACTTATGTACCTACAATTCAGTAGTTATTCCGTCTTTGATTTGCTAGTTTTTCATTTAATTCAACTTCGGTCTTTCACGCAAGTTCTTTAAATGCATTCATAACATAGATATTACATACAGATAAATGTGTTGGTAAACAAGTAACAATTGCTTGGCAATAATAATTTAAGTCTAGCTACATATGTAGTATAGGAAGCGTTCAATACGATACTCATACGATAAGAAGGTCACTTAAAACTTTTCCAAGCATGAGCATATTACAATGGTTAAGGTCAAAAAAAACCAATTCGCATTAAAATTAAATATGAAAACGCATAGAAATAATTGAAACTACAAAACGAACGAACAAACGAAGGAACGAACGAGCGACGATGTCGCACTGGGCAACATGAACTGCTTAAAACTAAATTCAGTTGTTGTGTATGTATGTGTATGTATGTTTGTATTCAGCTATATGTGGTACGTTACTATGTTACTATCGTTAATATTTGTATTTACTTTTTTTGTATTTATATTTGCATAAAGCCAGTTTGTGCTTACGTGAAACTCACATTGTGTTCCGTGGGGAACTAACATAGTTACATACATACATACGTAAATACGATCAACTGATAAGTTACATATCATCTTACAAAAATCTAATTTTTTGGTTCTAAAAAGGGCAGTCGGAAGCTAGCGGGTTTCTTTTCACACGTAACGGCCGTCAGGAGGCGTGTTTCGCCACCGCTTGTTGGTGGTTCAATTGGTATTGAGCGTTGCGAACGATCAATGTGTGGCGGCAGTTGCAAGTTGATGGGATCGCGAAGGCGTCGTAAGTCATACTCAGCTTCGGCGATTTGACGTTTCAATAGATTGTACTTTTCGATGTCAAAGCTCTTCCTTTTGGCCTTTTTGTGCATTGTAATCAGGAATAGACGATCTCTAACTGTTTCGTAAGTGTATTCCTGGAAAAAATATAACATATTGTATATGTAATCTACAAGTATAGGTATATTCAAAAAATTAGGGAAATAAAAAACTTTAAGCAATCTCTATTTTTCTGCACCATTCTCACAACTCTCACGAACGTTCATCTTGCACCTCTGAACTCGCAAACTGCACCGTCGTTCACTTCGAAGGGCTAAAAGAAAATACCAATCCTATCCTATCTTTGCAACAGTTCGCTAGTTATGAATACAGATTTGATCATCAACTTTATTTCCGCGCATAATCTTGTAAGAGTAGATTTTCTTCTCAGATAATTAGAGGAAATCTAATATAATTTCCCAGCAGAAGCAGAGCTAATTAAAAAGACCGAGGTGATATAACACATTACATTGTTTGATTTTTTGGATAGGTCAAAAAGATGGACCTGGCTTCCACTGACTTTTAAATATTTATCCATGTAATTTGCAGTGTGAACTAAAAAATGTCTTTTGATAAAACTATTCTACAAGTAAAAAAATATCATCAAACGCATTAGAAGCTATAAATGACTTTCATTCTCTCATTGATAACTTCGAATATTTCCTTTCCATACGAGTTTAATTTCTATTATAACGAAACTAAAATCTTGAAATTATTTTTTACCCTGAACAGGATATATTTAGTTTGCCACCAAGTTTGTAACACCCAAAAGGGCCCTATAATTTTATACATATGAGTATATGATCAGCATGATGAAGCTGAGTTGATTTAGCCATGTCCGTCTGTCTGCTTATACGAACTCACTAAGATGCTGTTCATTTGTCGGAACGGACAAACTGAACAACCGTAATCAAGTACTTGTATGGGAAACTTTTTTATTTGACGAAATATCTTCACGAAATTTGGCATGAGTTATTTGTAATCTCCAAAGAAATTGTTTAAATCGGATCACAATAGAATATAGCTGCCATATTAACTGAGCGATCGGAGTAAAGTGCTTGCAGGGAAAATTGAATGATCGGAATCAAGTTCTTGTAAGGGAATTGTGAAGGGAATTAGAGCTTCGGTGCAGCCGAAGTTAACGTTTTTTCTTGTTTTAATATATTACCGATTTCGTTAGGCAGTAATAAGCATACAGAGCCATTGTGGTGCCATATGTAACAAAATATGTGACGGGTTCCATGATATCCCAAGAGTATTCCCACCAAGTGAGGCGCGCTAAAACGCCAAATTGTACCGCCATTAAACTGAGTCCCACCCATGTTGCGATAACCGTTTTACGTTGCGCTAGTTTAGCAAGTTCCTGCTTTTCCTGTAAATTTAAAGAACGTTAGATAATTTTCATCTGAGACCTATTTGTGTTTTATAAACTCTTACCATTTCTAGAGGTGATATTTCAAATTTTAAATTTTCTATTTTTTTCACTAGTTCATGTTCCTTGTGCAAATGATATTCGCCGACATGTAAAGCTTCATACAACTGAAATAAGAACATAATATATATATTTTAAGATGTTTAAAAAATGCAATAATACATACTTGTGCTACTAAAGTTCTAACATCACTAAGCCTCTTTAAGTCTTCAGAGTCGATTTTTTTCCTTTTAGGAGGGATCACTTCGTATTTGTTATCATTTATTTGTAGCCTAGAATAAAACGTAATTGAATTGTATTATAATAAAAAAGGAAAAACAAAAATCGAAGAAACATTTGTTTATTAGAAAGAGATTCTAATACTTTATTGTTGCCTCTAAAACAGTGTATCTGGATCCGAACTTTGTTGAAAACTGCCGGTTTCTTTTTTACTCACCAAAATGGCTCATCCATAAGGCTATCGATGGCGCATGTGGACGCTATTCGTATACCGCATTTGTTCAGCACAACCGCTCGATCGATACCGTGATCTTCAATTTTCAGCATTTCGATAAGATCGCCAACTTTGTGCGAAACAGGCCTCAGAGCAAATCGGCATTTTTCCAATCTGCTTGGCAGCGGCACTGTTAGGTGTGGAAGTCCTTGTATATATTCAACGTAAACATCGCCTAAAAAGGTTTAAAGCGAGATTCATTAAAGAAAATATTAGAAAGATAAAGTATTTATAGAGGCTTTAAACTATACTGGGGTGAACTTTTGAAATAAAGAAAAGGCGAATATTGGATCGGAACAGTTCATCTATAATAATGAATTAGTTTTGGCTTACTCTCGGCCATAAATATTTCGCAGCTGCACACGTGCTAGATGCTAGCCAAAATTTGCTAAGCTCTCCTTAGGACCATAGATCCAGCGCCAGAACGCTAGCGGACAGGGAAACACCGGCTCGTGGCCATATTGATGATATTTAGATACGGGTGCCTTTTTTGCAAGCCGATGAGCAGTTTCCAGCGATTCCGCTGTGATCAGGCCCCCAGACAAGCCTAATGTGGAAGTAGCTTTATGCCACAAATATAATCTAATAAACTTAGTCATACAAATTAATAATTTTAAGTTTCAAATTTTCAAGAAACTGTAAAGATTTCATTGACAACTTTACAAGAAAGTGAAATTTATCCTTTCATCTTCATGCTTAGCATTTGTTTGATGAGTGGAAATAACAACTCAACAAATTTTGACACTGACTTTTAAAAAGAGTATACCAAAATTATTCCATATAGGTTACAATTGGACATAAATGGACCTAATAGAATAATCGATGGTATAACGTCCGATGTGTTTTACGTGAGTACCTGCCGGCGACGGCCTTACCTCACGGTGCTCCAAAGCAGAACGTATCAAAACAATGCCAGTGGCCAGTGTGTAGGGGCACACTGACCATCTTGGTAGGATTCGAGGCCGACCTAAAACCTCTTCCGTTTTCGGGTACGGAACCCAGTTGCTTGTGCAACTTCTTTTTTTGAACTGAAAATTCAGTTCTTCCAGCATTTAGGTTTAAACCACATCCACCACGATACTCCCCAAAGGGCCAAACCCAATGAGCAGATTGAACCGAAGTCCAAGGGCATTCTGCTCCCCGTGGTACCAGAGTTGAGTCTCCGGTAAGACTGTGTAGCCGAAGCGACTGCCAGTTGAGTTACTCATTACTTAATGACAGGTGACATTTATCGCTTGAACTTCAAATGTCTTTTTATTTGGAATCTCATTTAAAGTCTATAATATCAGTTTAAGCTGAGTATTATAGCACTATTTCTGACATCATTACTATGCTGATATTTCTAGGCAAGTTAAAATAGCAGTCATAGTGCATTTGGCTTTTAGTCGCCTCTTACGACAGGCATGCCTTACGCGGGTAAATTCTTACCCCTACCCGCAGGGGGAAACCGATGGTATAATCCGATACAAAAAGTAATACTACATTTTTATCCACTTGGTAACAAATATTCAAGCAAAGGGGAACAGTTTAAGTAAGTTTTGTTACGAACTTAGTAACATCCAAACAGACCGATTAAAATCAAGTTAATGTATGTAAAACTTTTTTATTTGGCAAAGTATCTTCACGAAATTTGGCACCGATTGTTATCCAAAGCAGCGCTTTAATCTCGGAATAAATTTTTCGAATCGGAGCTTAAAATCAGCCACACAATGGTTTTGCGGATAGGAAAAAGTAGCAACCTGGATAGTCCAACATCTAATCTGTGCGGAAGACCCAAAAAAATTCAAATGCGTGAAGCTAAACATGTTGGACGACCAACCTTATATTCAACAAATTGACTACCCAAAGCAAGGATTACAGCTTTCAACGCTAAATGTTATTCTCTGACCATTGCGTTGCCAGTTAATGGATGCTGGTAACAAAGCGGAAGAGAAGAAGAAGAAACCCGCTCTGTCAAAAAAATATGTTTCTGCCCGAAAATCTTGGCACGCCACGAATGCTGGTCTTGTGATGACTGGAAACGAGTAATTGTAAATGTTAATTATGTGTGAGCAGTATTTAATTTTTTTGAAATTTTTTAACAGTAACGACACCAAATTAACCACTTCCAGTCAGATGGCCGCTCCTGATACTGGTCAAATAATTCAGGGCCACTTCAACCCCATCAAGTAAAGCAAATTGTAAAGTTTGGAGGTGGATGTTTAATGATTTGGGAGTGTATTCCGCAGTATGGAGTTGGTCCTATTGTGAAAATCAATTGGAACATAAAACAAGAACAATAACTGGTTATTTTAAAAACAAATTTGCTGATTGTTGTGGATATGCTTCGCTTGCGGGTGAACCGAATTATATTCCAACAGAACAATCATCCTAAACACTCTTCGAAATTAGTGCAAAATTGGTTGAAATCGCAAAGTTTTTAAACAATGAAGTGGCCTGTGCAAAGCCCAGACATGAACCCCATAGAGAACTTATGAAATCCGAGTCCACCAAAAGGCATTGGTTTTGGAAAGGCGTCGAGGGTGAGTGGTACGCGATTTCGTCAGCTTTCATACAAAAATTGTATGAGAGCATGCCGCGACGGCTGAATGCGTTAAAAGAAGTTAAAAAGGGTTGTGGACTGACTACAAAAGTAGAACAATAGAGTTTTGCCACATTTTTCTTATTTTTTATGTTTCTAGTGTGAATTCGTGATTTTCTTTTTAGTTATAATGAACTTTAAGTCTGAGTAAAAATAATGTATTAATATTTTTTTACAAAAATATACATATGCTTGCAATTTATTGCATCAAACTTCATTTATGTAGTTATTGTTTCAGTTTTGCTATTCAGCTATAAGAAATGCACCTGTGTCTTTTTGTTTTCCTTCCGAACACAATGTATCATTGTTTAAATCTAGGAATATTATTTAAATGTATGGTATTAAAGTTAAAATAAACTCAAGAAAATAAATGTTGTCGTAAATTTTTCACCGAATTAAGATTCATTAAGACATCAGCAAGCCCTCATCGCTTCTGCTCATTAAAATCACTTCTGAAAACCATGGAAATGTCTATTTTGGAGAGTTTTCGCTTACGCTTCCCCATTAGGTATAAATCTTCACTACTGCTTCATGAAAGTTTTTAATCGGCCTTTTACTATTGGTAGATCAAGGCTAAATGCGTGCAACAAAACTTTTTCACTAAACACGAGTAATTACGCAAATTCCATGTGCAAATAATTCCATGTTGATTAAGGAAAAGTAAGTTTCGTGGCTTCATGAATGTAGAGCCAGAATGATTGTCTTCTTTCATGCACGCGTATGTATACCATATACATATTGTCACTTTAATGGTGTGAATATCATCCCTCCGCCGCTCACAGTCAAGGTTATTGACTGATTGGAACACCGTAGAAACTTAATTGCTCAACTATGCATGCACACACGTGATGTTTGCTGCATCAGTTAAATGTTCTCAATGCTCTCTAGAGCACAACTCTTTACGCTGAATTCGAATGGAATTTTCTTTTCGATCTCGCATGTTTGATTATCATTATTACTGGTACTTGGTAGTCGGTAGTAGTCAGGAAAATATTACGAATTGCTGATTGATTAGCATTTCATTTCGAGTCGTACATGTGTAAATATGGTTGCATGCAGATGTTTTGAGCAAGCTTCATTATATGTGAATGTTGAACCCATAGCATGAAATATGAATGAAAGAAACAAATATTTGGAACATTGAGCAGCACTTTTGCACTCTTGCACTATTTGTGGTATTTTTATTTCAAAAAAGTTAAGATTTCCTAAATTTACCTAAGTTATTTTGACTTGAAATAATCCGTGGATTTCATTTTATTGTGGTCTGATATATCGAAAGTGAAATGTGGTAACTAAGAAATGGAATTAATGTATTTTTATTTACTCTTCTTTGGTTAACAAGGGTGTAAATAAGTTTTTCAATGAGCCCGAACCGAGAAAGACACTTCTTTTAAACATATTTTTGAGTATTGAATTCTTTAGTGGCTTGGATGGGAAAATTTCTGAGGCTGAAAGGTTTTGAGCTTTTATACGGAAACTAGAAGAGAGACTCAAACTAGGTAACTAACTGATTGGCTGATGCCTAAATGTTACTATGCCACGTTTAGAGAAGGAGAAATCAGGGGGACCACTACCATTTAAACATTATTTTATCAAAGGGGTATGTATTTATGGTTGCATGCAATTTAATAACCGAATTGACATTGCCATATTTTCGGTCTAAACTTCTGTATTTAAACACTTGTTGAGATCTAGCTAGTAACTAAGAAGGTACATTGTGATCAGAAAGACAGGAAATTGTAAATAAAACGAAAAATGTTTAATCTTCTGCTTGACAGATCGCGCTCATTTTTGGCATAGTTATTAAGGACAGTGCTACCTAATTAACAAAAAAAAGTGCTGCAAAATATTCAGCGCGGGCAGTTTAAATGACAATTGCCGGAAACTTTCTGGTCACAATGTATAGTGTTTAACGTAGTGAAAAAGGACTTCGGCGCGTTTAAGCGCGTGTGATTCGATTCTTATTTTTGGAGGGGAAATCGAGTAGTGAAATTAAAAAGTGCTTCAGTTATGTAAGTGGTAACTCTCTTCTTACTTGGCATTCTGTTAATTGAAAAGGTGCGAGTAATCTAAGACGGTAGGTTATTTTTAAACGTTGTACATTTTAAAAATATGATATATAATTACAAATCATGTGATCACTTTCTTGGTATTGAATGGTTATAGTGTTTTAAGAAGATATACAAAAAATTTAAAAATAATAATAATATAATAACATATATAATATATGGATGGTATATAGTATTTCCTCTGACTCCGTTTGAAGCGTAGGGGCAAAACATAAGCTTTAAAATCGTTTCCACTCATTGTGATTTGCGATAGACTATTTCAGTTAGTATTAGAGTCTTTCAAGTCGGCATATTTCACACGTCGCTAAGAAGTATTTGTACATTTAACACATTTTTGCATAGTGTCAGTCCTTGCCAGTCAAATCGTTTCCGTTCGATGGTTAGCTCTAGAGGTAGTTCGTAGGAATTTTCAGGTATGTTTAAATTAAATGCAAAAAATTATTACCACACTGGGAATGATTCTAAAGCAGGGTTACGATTTTTTTAAATAAAAAAATCTAATTTTTAATATAAAATTCGTAATAA